TATATATATAGATTAATCAATAATTTAAACAAACTATAACTCTTGAGAGTTGTTAAAGTATTTAATTTTAGAATTTGAATTTGGTTTCCTCATATGATTTATTTTTGGAGAAAGATTTGATATATTTAACTTTTATTTTGTTCTAGAAAGAACTTTTTTCCTATATTTACTTTAAACGTATCTTCCAAAGATATTGTAGGGAGTTTTTACTATTATATAAAATATACTAATCAAATATGTATTTAATCAATTTAAAAACACAAAACACCACGACCAAATTAATACCATTGACCAGTAACTATTGTTCATAGTTATTTTATCGACTATTTAAACAAGCACCCAATAAAATTATACACCACACCCTCTGATTTCTACTTCATAAGAATACAAAATGTATACCTTATAGTCATCTTTTTGTAACCTTCTAGCAACCTCAATCTCGAGGCATGCACATGCAAAATATACAATTGTTATTATAGTTCATTCACATGCAGTGTTTCAAATCATGAACTATACCATGTGATAATCTTGTACTTAACATTGCAACAGTCAACTCAGCTTCTAAACAATGTTTCATAATTGAAATTAATTGTATGTGACACTAACATCAAGGTTTTAAAAATTTCTATGCTTTTCATTATTGTTGTATACATCTTTATTAGGAAAAATAACACAAATATTGTTGATTCTTAACTAGTATAAATGAGTAACAAAACAAACTAATATAAAAATAAAGAATTATTTTGAAGATTGTCATCGTGATCACTAAATGAATTTTTTTAAAAGAAATTGTATTAGAAGGTGTCAATTTTTTTAGAAAATTTGTATGAGAAATTATATTTTTTGTTACAAAAATTGTACGAATATTCGTAGTTTTTATAAAAAAAAATAAATATCAATATTATTTTTATTAAATATTTCTGAATGTACGAAAAAAAAATTAAACTTATGTTTTTATTTCTTATTTGTAGATAGAAATATATCGAGTTAAATTTATGTAGTACTTTTATTTTCAGTTTTATTTATAAATGTGCTTATGCTAAAAACTGATTAATTTCCTAATGCTAAATTATCACCTAACCAATGTAATTGGTTGTCATGTTTTTGTAAAGACATGAAAGGAATTAACCATACCTTTCTAAGAACATTCTCTCCATTTACTAGTCCCCCAGGAACACCTGCATTGTTCACCTGCACCCAATAAATGAAAGAAAATGAAATATATCAAGAAAATACTTTGGTTCTTTGTTCCTTAAAAGAGTGAGAAAATTAATAATATATTAAAAAAACAATGGAAATATCATATATAAACTGGTACCAAGATGTCAAGTCTTCCAAATCTGGTTTTGATGAATTGTGCCAAAGCAGCAACACTAGGAGGGTCAGTGACATCAAGTTGATGAAAAACCAGAAGGTCTGAGAGACCAAACTCTTTCAATCTTTCCACTGCTTCCAAACCCCTTTTCTCATTTCTAGCTGTTAGCACCACCACTGTCCCATTCAAACCCAGTTTCTTGCATATTCCATAACAAATTCCCTTGTTAGCTCCCGTCACCACTGCATACCTGTATATCCAACTCAATAAATAGATCTGCAGTTCATGTTTTTGAGATTCATATGTGCAACCATTTTCATTTGCTTTTACAGGTCCAAACTCACATATATAGTAACAAATTCAAGGTTACATATACATTCAAACACAAAAACTTTATGAGTATCATTTAATTTCTTCTTACCTTTTTGCTTCTTCTCCCATGTTGATAATGTTCCCTGTATGTAGTAGAGCTTGTGTTTTATCTTGCAGAGCGTCTGGTATATGAAATGCTTCACCTGTTCGTTCATCTTGTATCCTTCTTTAAATTATATATTCCTACACTGCGAATTCTCAACACGTGTCCACGTATGATAATGTTAATTTAGTTTCATTACTAATTAAATGTAAGTAGACATGATATTATTATTACAAATATATTATTACAAGTATGCATACATTAATATTTTTTTTTTGAAGTTTTAAAACCCAAGAAAAATGAGAATTGATGCCATAAAATAAAAATTATAACTTCGTTTATTTTCTAATTACTAAAATATAGGTTTCTTATTGAAAATGAGATAAATCATTTATGCTTGGAAATTGATTTTATTCATATAANCCTTAAAAGAGTGAGAAAATTAATAATATATTAAAAAAACAATGGAAATATCATATATAAACTGGTACCAAGATGTCAAGTCTTCCAAATCTGGTTTTGATGAATTGTGCCAAAGCAGCAACACTAGGAGGGTCAGTGACATCAAGTTGATGAAAAACCAGAAGGTCTGAGAGACCAAACTCTTTCAATCTTTCCACTGCTTCCAAACCCCTTTTCTCATTTCTAGCTGTTAGCACCACCACTGTCCCATTCAAACCCAGTTTCTTGCATATTCCATAACCAATTCCCTTGTTAGCTCCCGTCACCACTGCATACCTGTATATCCAACTCAATAAATAGATCTGCAGTTCATGTTTTTGAGATTCATATGTGCAACCATTTTCATTTGCTTTTACAGGTCCAAACTCACATATATAGTAACAAATTCAAGGTTACATATACATTCAAACACAAAAACTTTATGAGTATCATTTAATTTCTTCTTACCTTTTTGCTTCTTCTCCCATGTTGATAATGTTCCCTGTATGTAGTAGAGCTTGTGTTTATCTTGCAGAGCGTCTGGTATATGAAATGCTTCACCTGTTCGTTCATCTTGTATCCTTCTTTAAATTATATATTCCTACACTGCGAATTCTCAACACGTGTCCACGTATGATAATGTTAATTTAGTTTCATTACTAATTAAATGTAAGTAGACATGATATTATTATTACAAATATATTATTACAAGTATGCATACATTAATATTTTTTTTTTGAAGTTTTAAAACCCAAGAAAAATGAGAATTGATGCCATAAAATAAAAATTATAACTTCGTTTATTTTCTAATTACTAAAATATAGGTTTCTTATTGAAAATGAGATAAATCATTTATGCTTGGAAATTGATTTTATTCATATAAATAAATAAAAAATGATACAATTCATGTATGCGGACAAACAGGATTGGCATACATTCCACATTCTCTAAGTAATATTCAGGATATATTAGTAACATCAATTTCTTAGTTATTATTGATAAGGTTGATAAAGTGGTCTCGATTATGGATACTTAATATGAAGATTGTTCATGTATTTACTCATACAAGTTTTTGTTTTTTGTTCATGGAGGAAATTATGTGATCTAATGTGATTTCATCAACTAAATCTTTACTTTTTTTGAAAGTTACTGCATAATTGTTTATTAATTGTCTCAAACATTTTTTTGTAAGAGACATTAGTTTGTGTGTTATCCAATTTTCATGAGGAAATTTTGACTCATATTTGTAAGTTAGAACTTTGACAACATTTATATTTAATGAAACTAATGAGATAATTATATCTGAAAACACAACTAATGAGACAAGAATCAAATTTATATATAAGAAATTCACACAATTTTCAAATTAAAACCTTAAACAATAAGTTGATGAATCTTTATTGAAAAATCTGATTTTTACTTAATGTGAGATTTAGACAACTTACACTACTTAAACTCAGTTAAATTCTTAACACTTATTACTTTCAAGCAACAGCCATAATGTATTTACACACTATTTGTACACAAATTATTGTCTGAGATTATGAGTGTGAGAAACATTGTAGATCAAAACGGAATGACTTGATCCATTGAGAAAAAGAGGCCAGAAGGACCGTCTTCTGGCAACAGTGCTAGCCTAACAGGATTTTCAACACCTTCATCAATGCTTAACAAGCCTTGGTTGTGGTTTATATCAGTTTTGACAGAGCCCGGGCATATACAATTTATGCAAAAATGAGGGAACTTCTTAGCTAGCATCCTTGTGTAAGCATTTATACCTGCTTTTGCCATGGTCACACCAGAAACCCCAGCTGGCCAATTTTTCGATTCTAATGATCCTTCTTTGTAATCTTTCAGAAATTCTCTAAGCACTTCATAAAGTTTTTCATTTGTCAGATTCTCAATGTCACTCAAAACTCCTCTTGCCCACTCATTTGGTATGTGCTGAAACCAGAGGAAGAGCAGCAATAAGAACTTATCTTGTTTCATTGCTTCCATCATTCTCAAAGAAAGAATGTGAACAAAAAACTATGCAACACTTAACAGTAAACCATACTCATTTATGTTTTGAATTTAACTTTACCTTCAATAGTCCTATTTGACCAGAAATATTGACAATCCTTGGTGAAGTTGAGAGTTGGAGCAGAGGAAGAAGAGCTTCAGTTACTCTCTCTGTACCAAAGAAATCTGTTTCAACACATTCTTTGGCTAACTCATAATTTTGATACACTATCAGATTCCAATCCGATATTTCACCCCTTTTCTACAACAACAAACAAAGCTAACCATTATACATAGAAAACCAGGAATATAATAAAGATACATATAACATGAAACCTTACCCTTCTGAGGTAATTCTCTGCATTAACTATTCCCCCAGGAACACCTGCGTTATTCACCTGCAACACTAATCATTATGTCAAATGTATCACATGCAAAGATCTAAATGAAACCCAGAAATTTTTTTTTCTTCTTTCTTCTTCAAGAATTTGAAAAACTCAGGTGTACCACTGTGGAAGGAGATAGTAACACTCACCAATATATCAAGTTTTCCAAATCTGGCTTTGATGAAATGTGATAAGGAAGTAACACTGGAAGGGTCTGTCACATCAAGTTGATGAAAAAGCACAAAGTCTGATAGTCCAAACTCTTTCAATCTTTCCACTGCTTCCAAACCCCTTTTTTCATTTCTTGCTGTTAGCACCACCACAGTTCCATTCAAAGCCAGTTTCTTGCATATTCCATAACCAATCCCCTTGTTAGCTCCTGTCACTACTGCATACCTATATATCCAAGTCAATACATGCATCCTTTGCACAATTGTGTTGATGATTGTCTTATGAAAATTTACATAAATTTTGTTTACACTTATTTCATATTTGGTCTGTGCATGGATAAACACAGAGTCAAGGACTAATGATTTTCTTAACATGTTTTCTGAGTTTTATATCTATAGATTTTAGCTGTGATTTTCTATTCATGTTCTGCTACCTGTTTCATGACAGTGCTTATTGACAAATTCAAGCTCAATAACTTCTTTAGCTACCTTAATAGACATAACTTTAAAAGCATGCAGAAATGAAACACAACAAAATTTGAGTATAATTTCTTTTCTCTGTACCTTTTTGCTGCTTCTTCCATGATGATGATTCCTGGTGTTTGTATGAACTGGTTTTGGTCCGTTTTATCAACAGATCATTATAGCCTCTGATTTTTTTTTTTTGGAGAAACTATGATACAGTTTTGTTCTTAAAATTGTGAGAGGAAGATACATACACTAATAGTGTAATAAAATATGTATATTCTGTGCATAAAAAACAATTGGATCGTTAGAAAGTCACATATTTGAAATAGCCAAATGCAATAAATTAAACTGAAAATTGGGAATTGTTTTTAGTACTTAGTTGTAAATAAAAATTAATAATTAGCCACGCCTCAATGCTTAAATAAAAAATGAGAAAGTTTTTGGAACTAAGTAATAATTAACAAGAGTGACCTATCTCGTTTTGTATTTTCAGTGCTGCCAATTAGGAAAAGGTCAGTAAGGACCACTATCCACTGTTGCCAAATTTGTATGGATTTGCTGTGTTTTTTAGGGTTGTGTTGAATAATTTCTTCTAATTTATATTTGAAATCAATGATGTAATTTTGTTTATTTATATTTGTCTTTCGATATATTATTTCGTTTACATACTTGACTCACCTACACATGACGTAACATTAACATTTACTTCTCAAAAATCAATTCCATCGTAAAGAATTACAAATTGATATATTGATGTTGGTAAACAATTTTTGCTGCATATTATTGTCCATAATTATACAGTACCACAATTGTTTAAGGGGTAAACAACTATTTAATTTTTTTTTAATAAATATGAGTTAGTACCAAACTTCATTCAAATTAAAACATTGGAAGCAGTTCTTTTATTCTAAAATAGTTTGCAAAATTTATGTTTGCTTAGAAACAGTTCTTTTATTCTAAAATAGTTTGCAGAATTTTGTTAATTCTTTTGTTGTGAGGAGTTAAAAGAATGCATCACCTAAAGGGAGGAGAAATCATGTCTTTTGATATAAAAAATGGGTTTAATACCTATTTTGGTACCTTCGTAAATTTATTCAAATGGTCCTATTTTTTTTCAATGTTTACACTTGTTTCATATTTTGTAAAAACGTTAACTGTGTAATTGTCTTCTGCGTGAATGAGTTTTAAAAGTTTTTATTTTACTTTTTATATTTTTCTTTTTCTTTTTCTTTTATTCTTAATAAATTCTAATCTTTTTGGTTCGGGCCACCACCACCACCAATGCAGCAATCAACATCTCCCTTCGGTTACCACCATGCAACCACTGTGAAAGCTTCCCCGTTCCTCTTTCTCGTGCAAAAACCATACCCAAATTACAACCACCAGTAACCTCGTTCCAGAATCACCATCATGAATTCCCTTCTCCTTAGGATCTGCAAGAGCGAGAGAAACCTCTGTTCAAACCTCCATGGCCACGATTCAACCTGCAAGAAACCGCCACAAAACCCCAAACCGAGAACGCGAAACCCTAATCACGATCATCCTCTTCTTGCAAACAACAACCAAGCCACAACATTGCAATCCTAAAATCCCAAATCAGAAAATCCTAAAATCCTAAATTAGAAAACCCTAAAATCCCAAATCAGAAAACCCTAAAATCCCAAATTAGAAAACCCCTAATATTCAAAAATCCAAATTGCACCATCACTCCACCATGTTTGTCTTCTACACCTTGAGACAACTTGGTTCTTCATCATGAGAAACATAGGAAACTCAAAACCATCCTTAGCTTAAATTTAACTTTAACTTTTAACCTTGTCACATCAATTGGACTAATTCTTTCCACATATTGTAAAACTGCACAAGTCACTCAACATTGGCCAGGGGGCACATTTGTAACCCAGAAAGCAAAAAGGACAAACTTAAACTACTTTTAAAAAAATGGGATATCTGAAAAGAGGTAGGACCACTTTGAATAAATCTACCAAACCTAGGGAGCAAAATAGATATTAAACCTAAAAAATATTTATTAAATATCACTGTTATACAGTACGACCTTTACTTGAGGATATATCAGTATCAAACATTACGAGAGACAAAGTTCACTTTATTCTATGTACGTTAAAATCTTGTTTGAGCAATACATTATCATCCAAGGAGAATCATACTGCAATTTAACTCGTTCAAGCGAGTAAATTTTCGATTGGGTGACATTTTTTTGTGTGTTAGGTATCTTGAAAAAATTATAATCTTTGTTTCATTAATTATCAGGTCAAACTGAAATTTCAACAACTTGTTGTAGACATATTTTTATTTACTTTGACAAGTTGGATCTTAATTGAAAGTCCGTAATTATAAAAGTTTTTCACTTAAGTTTTCATGTAGTTTATTGACAACTTTGACCTCTGTTACTTGTTTAATATTCAATATAGTTGATTTTTTTTTTGTGTAATTGTACCTGAGGAAGTGATATGAGAAATTATGATGACTGAACTTTATTGTAGGGTTCTCGTGTAGATTCTCTGGTGGCATATATGTTTGGTGTAATTCCAAGGGTCTCG